GGGAAGAGGTAACTATGGGGAGGAAATGGAAGGGGAGCTGTTGCATTGTGGCTAACTGGTCAATGTCATGAGACAAAGTATATGTGAACCGCTGTATGGAAAGTAAATTTGCTTTGTAAACCTACACCCAAATTGCAATTAAAAAAAAAAAAAGAATAAATAACAAGAATCTTTAAATGAAACATAAAAAAAAAAACCCATAAACTTCATTACAGATATTAGGGGTTACCTTAATTCTGTGGATGTAAAATTTATGGTGTGAAAGGGCTTCATTCTTTAGGTGGCCTGTAAAGGATGTGGCACATTGTCAGTGTTTAATAATAACATTTTATCATTAACATTATTTTTTTGTGTCTTTTAGAATTTTCTTTGCCTTGTACAGAAGATGTGCCAACATGTGGAGATAGTTGTGACAAACTCCTTGAGTGTGGGATCCATAGATGTTCACAGCGTTGTCATCGAGGTCCTTGTGAAACATGTAGACAAGTTAGTCTCTCCTGTAATGGTTACTTTTAAGAGCTGTTTATCATGTCAGATGGGATTGTCCTGAAATTAAAAAAATTACTTACTTTTGTAAAAATCTATACACTCACATCTCACTTATCAACATGGTTGGGTTCCAAAGGCCAGGTTGTTAATGCAAAAATCAACATTATGTGAAAATCAGTGTTTCATAAAAATGGAGGATTTTTTCTTTTTCATTTCTGTTTTCAGCCCATCCATTTGCCTTGATTTTTTTAATGTAGAAAATTAAATATCATAGAAATAATAATATCTAAGATTTACTGACGGTGCTCATCACTGTAACAAGTCCAGGTATGGATTATACTACTGTGGAGAAAGGAGGCCTGGAGGCGACAGCTGGATAAAGCTGGGCTGTGTTTCTGGAGGGCCCGTAGCTTAACCACATCATCTTCTTTGTGTGCTGGGTCCGAGCTTCCCTTGTGAAACCACCTCTAGTGCTGCACTTCCACCCCTGCCAGCCCTGTGTTCAGCATCCTGGAGTCTCCTCTGCCTTCTGGGCCTGGTGAATCAGTGAGGCTTAGGCCTGTGAGTGTGCTAGGAGCCTGGCTGTGTACTTCCACCTGCAGAGGCTTCAGGCCCAGTTCAGCTCACTTTTGAGATACGTATCTTGAAACTCACACACATTCCTCCCAAACATGCTCTCCAGTGCCTCTTTCTTTCCCCCCCCAGCAATTTTAAACTGAAGGGCCTCAGGCCGCACAGGCTTTGGGAATCCAGAGCAGGTGCCCATTGGCTCCACGCTGCCTGCGTGTCTGCCTGGACGCTGTGGCCACGGAGGAAGCTGCTCCCATGCGGCAGCTGGACGCAGCTGCACCTGCTGGCAGGAGGGAGTGGAGGACAAGGGGCAGTTGGTCTAGCTTCCCAGAGGCCACCCAGAGACCCTGCTTGGGAGGGGACACTTCACAGTTGTTGGCGCCATGCCCACCACCTCCTTAATGTGCAGAATAAACAGATTTTTTTACTATTGTCATAAAAGTGAAATGTCAACTAACAAAATAGTCAATAAGTAAGGTATAGGTGTATTATCTTTGTAAAAGTTAGTGACCTACTGTTCATGGTGAAGAAGCAGTAGAGTGTGCCAGTGTCAAATCTGAAAATTACCTTTTGGTTTTATTTGGTGAAAATTTGAACATTCTCATTTTTCATAGTTTAGTGTGGGGTAGTTCCTAGAAGACTTTTAGAATGGTGACCTAATGATGATGAAAAAAAGGAATGACTAGTCTTAATTGAGATCTTAAAATTCTTTATGTCATTTTAGTTTTGATATAGCTATAAGGTCAACACATTAGCTTAATAGAAAATCCATTTTTTTTTTTGGTTTAATCCGAGACAAAATTATTTTCAGAGTAATGTGGTGCATAGTGCTTAAGGCATTTGACTGCTAATGAGAAGGCTGGCGGTTCAAACCCACCAGCCACTCCTTGGAAGGAAGATTGGGCAATCTGTTTCCGTAGAGATACTGCCTTGGAAAACCAAGGAGGGTTCGCTGGGTCCAGTCAACTGAACGGCAGTGAGTTTGGTTTTTGTTTGGTGCCCAATAATAGCTCTAGCTCAGTTCAAGGCAAGACTCAAGAGTAGATGTGCAGATGTTGTTTACTAAGTATCAGTGATTTCAATCTATGGTAATTTTTTTACTCTTTACTATAAAATTTCTACTAAATGTAGCAATAAACTTGTATGAAGTTACTTTTAGAATAGAGTAAAATAAAATATTTTAGGAAATTTGGCTATGGTTTTGGTAGAGTGATATAAATTAGCTAAAATTTTTCTCATTTTTTTTTTAGTAATTATAGAAATAGGAGGGGGTTCTCTGGTAGCATAGTGCCTAAGGTACTTGACTGCTAACCAGAAGGCTGGTGGTTCAAACCCACCAGCCACTCCTCGGAAGGTTGGGCAATCCTACTTCTGTAGTGATACTGCCTCGGAAACCCAAGGAGGGGTCGCTATGAGTCGGGGCCGACTCGACGGCAAATAACAACAACAACAACAACAACATAGAAATAGGAATATTAAAAAGTCATGTTAACAAAAGTCAGTTTTAATATAATTTATTTGATTCTTCAGGAAGTGGAAAAGCATTGTCGCTGTGGAAAGCATACGAGACTAATGCCATGCCATAAACCTTACCTGTGCGAAACTAAGTGTATTAAGATGCGTGACTGTCAAAAGCATCAATGTAGGAGAAAGGTATGTGTAATAAGCTTGGAAAACTCTTGATTTTAAAGTTCTAATGAATTTTTCCTTTTGTGGCTCATGATGAGCACTATCTTGACTTTTTCCTAAAATGTCCATATTCTTTGCTCTCGCTATATAACAATTATTTGTGTTGGTGGGATAGTGTACCTTTTTTTTTTTTTCCTCCAGTTTTTAATGAAAAAATTCTCCTTTTGCTGTATGCATTATACACTTTCATCTTGGTTTGTGGAAGACTATTTATGTTCCTTAATTTTGAGGTATCTTTAGCAGTATTATAGTTCATTTGGTGGTAGAGACTCAGTTTCTGTTGTTCAAATCTTATTTGTAGAAGCTTGACTTAGTAGGTGGTAGACTGGAGTAGTGTGTAGATTTGCAGTTTTTTGAGTTCATTCCTTTCTTTATTATGAAATAGTCCTCTGTCTCTGGTAAGATTCCTTTTTTTTTTAATCTACTGAAATATACATGTTAACACTAATCAACGGAAAGCTAGAAGTTGTATATTTTTCCGTTCTTTTACATTTGACCTTATCATATCTTTATATTTAAAATGGGTTTCTTATAGACAGCTTTTAGTTGAGTATTGCTTTTTTTTAAACCAGGTTGACAGTCTTTATCTTTTCATGAACATGTAGACCATTTGCATTTAATGTGATCTTTAATGTGGTTGTATTTAAGTCTACCAGTTTGCTATTTTCTATACATCTAATTTTTGTTCTTTATTCTGTATTTTTGATCAAGTATTTTTTGCAGATGTTATTCTAACTAAATATAAGTGATTTTAATCTGTGGTGATGTTTTTACTCTTTAGTATAAAATTTATTTATTTGCTTTATTTATATTTCTTTGCTTATTTTTGATTATCTTTTCTTTTTTTGGGTGGGAGGAGGATGGTTGCTTTAGGCTTACATAGTATAAGAGCCTTACAACAGTACACTGTTATTTCCTTTGTCCTGATCTTTGTGATTTGATTCTCATATATTGTATATCTGTGTATTTCATAAACCCAAATGCATTATCAGTATTTTTGTTTTAATTGTTACTTTTTAAAGAGCTTTGAAAAAATAAGTGTTATATTTACCCTTATTTATTTTTTTGTTCCTTTCCTTGTTTTGTATAGATTCATATTTCCATCTGATTTCATTTTCCTTATGTTTGAAAGACTTCCTTTAATGTTTTTTATAGTACTGGTCATGAACTCTTTTCAGTGTTTGCATGTCTGAAAGTATCTTTATTTAGCCTTTGTTGGTGAAAAATATTTTTACTGTGCTGTTGTTAAGTTGTTAGGTGCCAGTTAGTCAGTTCTGACTCACAGTGATCCTGTTTACAGCAGAACAAGGCACTGCTTGGTTTTGCGCTGTCCTCAGTACTCGTTGCTATGTTTGAGCCCGTTGTTGCAGCCACTATGTCAGTCCATCTCGTTAAGGGTCTTCCTCTTTTCGCTGACCCTCTACTTTTACTATGGAATTCTAATTTGATAGTTTTTATTTCATACCTCAGAGATGTTGCTTCACTATCTTTTAGCTTATATTTTTTCTGAAAAGTTGTGTGTTGTAATTGTTATTTTTGTAATGTGTTTTTGTTTCCTCTGGCTGGTTTTTAAGGTTTTTCTTTCTATTGTCAGTTTTTAGTAACTTGTTTATTGTGTTCCTTGGTGTAGTTCTCTTCACATTTCTTTATCCTGGTTTTCATTTAGCTTCTCGGATCTGTGGGTTTATAGTTTTCTGCACATTTGTAAAAATTTTTGGTCTTTATTTCTTCAAATATTTTGTTTCTCCCACCCATCACCTTCTGGGATGCCAGTTATATATATTCTGATGCTTGAAGTCCCATAGCTCATGAGTGCTATATTTATTTATTGAAAAGAGATTTTATAGTTCTGTCTTCTGCTCAGTATACAGTACATTTCTCACCTCGATTATTGTGTATTTTTATCCCTAGAAATTTGATTTGGAACTTCTTTGCATTTTTCTACTTAGCATAGTCCTGCTTTCCTCTATGTTCTTGAGTATGTAAATAGAGTATGTTTATAATTCTTACTTTAATGTCATTGTCTATTAATTTTATCATTTGTCATTTCTAAGTCTGTCTCTTGATTGATTTTTCTCTAACTGATGGGTCATATTTTCCAGCTTCTTTGCATGGCATTAGTCTCGTATGCTTTCCACAGCGACAATGCTTTTCCACTTCCTGAAGAATCAAATAAATTATATTAAAACTGACTTTTGTTAACATGACTTTTTAATATTCCTATTTCTATGTTGTTGTTGTTGTTGTTGTTGTTATTTGCCGTCGAGTCGGCCCCGACTCATAGCGACCCCTCCTTGGGTTTCCGAGGCAGTATCACTACGGAAGTTAAGTTACTTGGAAACAGTTCCTTCCTGTTGAGATTTAATATGGTTAGATGTGACCAGATCAGCCTTTTGTCTAGGGCTAATTTGGCCCCATTGCTAAGGTAATAACTCCTCTAGATACACTACTAGGTACCTATGTATTAGATGATGGCCCTTCTACACTGGCTGTAGGTAACATAAACTATTCTTAGTCCTTTATAATCTCTGGAAATTGTTCTACCTGCACCTTCTAGTGGTTTTTCTTAGCTTTTGGGTGGTGATGTTATCGTTAGGTGCCATCAAGCGGGCTCTGACTCATAGTGACCCTATGTTCAACAGAACGAAACACTGTCTGATCATGTGGTAGCATCACAATCCTTGCTATACCTGAATCCATCACTGTAGTCACTGTGTCAGACCATCTTATTGAGAGCCTTCCCCTTTTTCGCTGGCCCTCCACCTTACCAAGCATGATATCCTCCTCCAGGCAATGATCCCTTCTGACAATATGACTACAGTAGGTAAGATGAAGTCTGTATCTAAGGAGCATTCTGGCTGCACTTCCAGGACAGATTTATTAGTTCCTCTGGCAGTTCATGGCATTTTCAGTATTTTTGCCAACACCACAACTCAAAAGCATCAACTCTTCTTTGGTCTTTCTTACTTATTGTCCAACATTCACATGCATATGAGGTGATTGAAGACACCCTGGCTTGGGTTAGGTGCACCTTAGTCTTCAAAGAGATATCTTTGCTTTTCAGCAGTTTAAAGAGGTCTTTGGAGTAGATGTCATCTGATGTCTTGACTGCTGCTTCCATTGGTGTTGATTGTGGAACCATATAATATGATATCTTTGACAACTTCAGCAGTCTTTTCTCTTTTTATTGTGATACTGCTTATTGGTCTAGTTGTGAGGATTTTTGTTTTCTTAATATTGAGGTAGATTCCTGTAATACATGTACAGACCAGTAATCAGCCAGACTCAAGGAATTTCTTCTAGAGTTCTTCAGGCTCTCTCTGAACAGCTAACTTGTCTCCATAAATTCTAGACACATCGGCCTTTCTAAGCTAAATTTTCTCTTCTCAGCTTGGTGAGACTACTGGACTATGTGTGATCCTCCTGTCTGTGCTGTAGCCTAGAAACTTCCAGCTCTAAGCTGGTGCTATTATCAGACTCACCTTGTTTGAGTCCCTTTTCTTACAGATTGCTATCTTGTGCTGCCTTATTGTCTAATGTCTAAAAACTTGTCTCATATATTTTGCCTGGCTTTCTAATTGTTTAAGGTAGGAGGGTAAATCTTGTTAATGCATCATGGCAAGAAGGGTCTGTAGGCTTATTCAGTCATAGGCCATGTATCCTTTTCTCTCAGCGCCACTAACTCTAAGGGATTGCTGTTGAGTTGATTCTGACTCATGGCAACCCCATGTGTGCAGAGTAGAACTGTCCTCCATGGGCTTTCTCCAAGACTGTGACTTTTCAGAAGCAGATCGCCAGGTTTGTATTCCAGATGCCTCTCTCTGGGTGGGTTTGAACTGCCTGCTTTTCAGCTAGTAGTCCAATGTGTAGCCATTGGCACCACCCAGGGACACTGGCAAAGTGATAGGCACATAGTATTACTTGGTAAATACTAGTCTGATTTAATCAAGTATTTTAACTTTTAATTGTTTTTCAATAATGTACATTGTATTTAGAGCTATTTATATAATAGTGAAGCTCCTTTTATATAGGTCACAACTTTAAGTTTCTTTAAGACAACTTTAGTCTGTATTTCCTTTCCAAGGTTTGGGTATGTGAGAAGTTACGGAGCTTGGTTGGTAATATGGACTTTAAGTAATTGTCCTCTGTTCATAAATGAAAAATTGGGGTAGTTCATATTTCTCACAGATAGATTGGAAATCAGGGAAGTGACAAAATATAGGAACTTAGAAGCAAGTAGCCTGTCTCTGCTGCTTTCCTTTAGTTAGTCTCTGGTCCCATGGTTTGAGAATAGCTGCCAAATTAATCCATACATTGAACTAATTTTATTATTTTAATTAAGTTTAAAGATTAGCCACAGTAATTATTTACCCTGAATTGACTATAGAATTTGACCACATCTATTCTTTTGGTTAATGGTGGTAATAACTGTATAAATGAATAGAAATGAACTTACTCATTTTAAGTCATAGAATAATGGGAATACAACCTATTCCTAACCCAAATTTAGATTGATTTCATTAAATTAGGTCATTGTCTATTAAATTTTCTGAGTTGCTAAAACAGTGCATCTGCTTACCAGAAGAATGTTGGTATTTTGGAATGTTTTTATTCTTCTATTTAAAATTTGTATCTTTTGCTTTCTGTAAGTTCTGTGAATAGTAATGACATTCATATTGTGCATGGTTTTTCAAACTACTTGTTCTTCATATATTGCTTTCTCTTCAGTGTTGCCCTGGAAATTGTCCACCTTGTGATCAAAACTGTGGACGGACTTTAGGATGTAGAAACCATAAGTGTCCATCTGTCTGCCACAGAGGTAAAATTTAATAGAAGCCATAATTTTACATTTGTATTTATATAGTGCTTTTTAGTTTGATAGAGTGCTTTCACATTTGTTACCTTATTTGATCCTTCTAATAACGCTGAGGAGAAGGTAAAACTGTCACCAGTATCTTTATTTTATGGACAAAGAACTGAAGCTCAGGAGGGTTCAGTGACTTACTGAAGGAAGTATTTAGTAAAGTCCTCGAGCCAAGACTTTTGAACCCAGATTTTGCTCATATAAAAATTTTGCTCTTTAACGTTGTGTTATTTCTTCATTCCCTCTCAATTTTACCACACAGTTTTCTTTAATTAATTAAGACATTTGTAGTTTTCTCGGTATTATTTTGAATTTTAGATGTTTATATAGAGTTAAATCTAATAAAGGATTAGATGTATGTTAAGGCAGTGGTTCTCAAACTTTTTCATCTCAGGACTCCTTTGTATTCTTTGGGACCTCAAAAAGCTTTCATTGGTGTAAGTTTTATCCATTGATATTTATTATGTTAGAAATTAAAATGTAATATGTATGCATTTATTTGAAACAAGTGATCATAAACTCATTACATCTTAACACAATTAACATTTTTTATGAAAAATACTTTCTGACATTAAAAAAACCTAACGAGAAGAGAGAGATGATGTATCAAATGTCTTTACTATCTAGCTTAACTGAAGGTAGCTGGATTTACATACTTCTACATTTAATCTGTAGCAACATCACTTGTTGCATAGCTTCTAGAAAACAACTCTGCATGTGAGGGAATAACATCTTAGTGTTACACTATTATAAAATAATTTTGACCTTGTAAACCCCCTGAAAGGGACTGAGGGACCCCTAGGGATTCCTGGAGCACTCTGAGAATTGTGCTCTAATTATTACTCAAAACCCAAAAAAAGCCAAACTCATTGCCATTCAGTCAGTTTTGACTCATAGCAGCCCCCATTGGGTTTCTGAGATGGTAAATCTTTACAGAAGTAGATTGCCCTGCCAGTATTCTGGTTAGCAGTCAAATGCCTTTGGCACTGCCCCACCAGAGCTCCTTGTCTGATCCAAGCCAAGGTATTTTCAATTGTCTCATATGCATGTGAAAACTCCACAGTGAATAAGGGAGACAGCAGAATTGATGCCTTTGAATCGTGGTGTTGGGTAAGAATACCAAAATACCATGGACTGCCAGAAGAAGGAACAAATCTGTCTTAGAAGAGGTATACCCAGAATGCCTCCTCAGAAGTGTGAATGGGTGGACTTTGTCTCATGTACTTTGGTCATGACGTCAGGGGGGACCAGTCCTTGGAGAAGGATATCGTGGTTGGTAAAGTAGAAAGTCACCAAGAAAGAGGAAGACTGTCAATGAGATAGATTGACATAGTGGCTGCAGTGATGAGTTCTAGCATAGCAACAATTGTGAGGATGGCATAGAACCAGATAGTGTTTTATTCTGTTGTACGTAGGATCTCTATGAGTCAGAACCAACTTGATGGCACCTAACAACAACAACAACACACAAATAAGGTACTTGTGACCTACCAAGGGAGTTGGACAGACTACTAATAGTGCAAATAAGGTATGTGGAACCTCTGAGGAGGTAGGCTATGCACATAAAGTATATGGAGCCCTAATGAGGAGATTGGCCAGTTTTACCATCCAGTTAGACTTAAAAGGGAAGCGATTCCAGAGCAGAGAAAAGCCAGGAGCAGAGCACGTTCTTCAGACTCAGGGGTCTCTGCAGTGAGAACCTCTTAGACCCATGACGAGGGAGATTGCAAGGGCTGCAACACCAGAGATGAGAAGTGGCAACAAGCATGATAGAGTGATGGCAATTGGGACAGAGAAACAACTGCAGCAGAAGCAGGACCAACGAGACAGTGAAGTAGGCTTCTCAACCCATGGAGCAAGGTGGCTAGAATGGGTGTGCCAAACCATGGAGCAAGAAAGCTGAAATCTGGACAGGAGGCTTGCTGGCAGAGTGTGGTTACATCTAGGCACTTGGTAGAGCTAGGCTAGCAGACCCAAGGAGCAAAAGAACTGAGCACCTTCAGGCTGAGTCTTACTGGCAGAATGGTATGCCTCTGGGCACTTATTGGCAGAATCAGAGAACTTTTTAACACTTCATTGAGTAGGGCAGAAGCCAGGACTGAATAGGTATGAGAGCCAGAGCAGGAATCCTGCCTGAGAGGAGCTCATCCATCCTTGGGGGACCGAGAAAAGCCCTGCATGGCCATGAGGGCTGGGACACTTGCCTTGTATTGAAGAAAGGAAACTGTCTACATGATTCCTGATCCTGAGTTGTAGCCTGTTATTTCCTTAATGAAAACCCTAAACCTCCAAACCAAGAAAAAAATTCCATGAGGATTTTGGTTATATATAATCAGCCTCAGCAACTATTCTTTTTGTTTTGTCATCATTGTAAATATCACACAACTTTTGTGAATTCAACTAGTTACAGGTATACAGCTTATTGACCATAATTAAAATAATTGGCTGTTCAACCTTAATCAGTGTGATATCTCCATCACCATTAACCTCCCCTTTCCTCCCACCCCTGTTGTTGTCATATGCCATTGAGTCAGACTCGACTCATAGCGGCGACTCCTTGGGTTTCCAAGGCAGTATCACTACGGAAGTAGATTGCCTCATCTTCCTTCAGAGGAGTGGCTGGTGGGTTTGAACCGCCAGCCTTCTGGGTGGCAGTCAGGTGCATTAGGCACTGTGCTACCAGAGCTCCTACCACCCCTAGTAACCACTAATAAATTTTGTTCTCTGTACATTTGTCTTGTTTTTTTTCTATAAGTGCAATCATACAATATTGATCATTTGCTATATGTAGTTTCACAGAGTTGGGATATTTAAGATTGCATCTGTGTTATCATTTAATGTGCTTCTCTCCTCTCTGTATTTTCCATAAATTAATTGGATTTAGAGACTTAATTAGATTTAGTACTCAATTGCATGTTTGTACTATAAATATAAGGAGCGCTGATGGTCTAGTAGATAAAGCAGTTGGTTGCTAACCAGTAGCTCAGTGGTTCAAACCAACCAGCTGCTCTACTAAAGGAAGATGGGGCAATCTACTTCTGTAAAGATTTACTGCCTTGGAAACCTAATGGGGGTTGCTGTGAGTAGGAATTGACTTCATAGCAATGAGTTTTTTTTTTTTTTTTTTAACTATAAATATAGAAGTTTTGATTTACTGTTCTTTTAAGTTCAAGGTCATCAGTGTTTATGGTTCTGGAATTACTGGAATAATACCCATTTTGACTAATGACTCATTGGCCACTATAGATAGTTATGTTGTCTATGTGCGTTTTTTTTTATTTGGAAAATATTGCCCCTCAGTCTGTTTGAATTAGTATCTGTTATGTTGTACAGGTATCTGTAGTGTTCTGTTGATCAGTAAGAAGACTTTTCAGAGAAATGATATTCAAGATTTAATTTTTTTAAAAAATGATGGTGTAGTTTAGAATAGCAACGTTTATGTTTGATGATTTCCTCTTTGAATTGCTGAAGATGAATGAGACATTATTAACATGTAAATTGAGATGTAATGCTGAAGGAGAACTGACTTAAAATGTCACTATTAACTTTTTAAAAATGTAACATTTAGTCATTCTTTTGGAAAGATAGCAAAATAAAATTTAATCATGCAGGCCATAATGACTTGACTTACATCACCATCAAGATAATTCTGGATTATTCTTATCAAAATACCAAGTATAAATTTAGAAATTTGTATACTATGCTTTCCTTTGCCTATGAAGGATTTTTAAAATTTTTTTTAAAACTCATTTTCTGTTTTTCTGTGTTTGTTACTTTAACCAAGATTCTTAATTTGTGATTGTTTTATGGAACTGTTTTGAGTTTTTAGAGGTATTAAACCAGACTGTTTTTCATCATTAATATGTGTTCATTATTAGGTTAACCATTATTGGATATTTTGCTTGCTCTGACACCTAGGTAGCAAGCTAAGATGCTCACTTTTTCGTAGCAGGGTCTTACTTCCTTTCTATTATTTCGTTTCTAATGACATGCTGTACTGGGAAGACTAGAGTTGAAAGAAAGCCCCTAAGATAGTGTGAAAGCTTCTTGGGGATAACTTTATAGCCTATTTCTCTGTTTTAAAAGGTTTTGTTTTCTTTAATTTTCTTTTTTAATTTCTACCAACCCATAACTCAAGAGATTACAAAACTAAAACCTAAATAATTCTTCCTTTTGAAATTGTTAGAAGGGAAGTATTTGGAATCTTAGCCTCAAACAAGGGTTTACAGTTTAGTCTTTCAAAAAGCATGAGTCATGGAAAATTGACTGTACTTGTTAATAACCAGTTCACGTCATGAGAGAGAAATTATTCATATTGGAGAATGATCAAAGAATAGTATACTGGAATAGAACTATGTATGAGAATAAGTCAGAAAGATTGTTACCATTAAGTTTTCCAAAGATGACATAACTCTTTCTGATTAGGTAGTTTAGAATGAGCAATATGTGTTAAATTTTTTATTTGGAACAGAAATTTTAAAGAAAACTTAAAACCTTTTATTAAAATACAGTGGACATATAGTAAAGTGTACAAACTACAGCTTGATGAATTTTCACAAACCATATATAACTGTAACACAGCCCAGGTCAAGAAACAATATTACCAGCATTTCTAAAGTCTTCCTTGTTCTTTGTAACCGTCATCCTGATTTCTAACAATATAGTTTAATTTTTCCTGTTTATGTAAGTAAATCACATCGGAGGCACTCTTTGTGTCTGGCTTCTTTTATTCAATGCTGTGCGTGTGAGAGTCACTCACACTGTTTCGGTTTCTTCATTCTCAATGTAGAATATTCCATTGTGCTAATATACTAAACTTATTTACCCATTCTGCTGTTGATGGGCATTTGAGTTGTTAAGGAAACTTCTTTTAAGTCTTTGATTTTTCTTTCAGGCAGTTGCTATCCCTGCCCAGAAACTGTAGATGTTAAGTGCAATTGCGGTATTACAAAGGTGACAGTACCTTGTGGGCGAGAACGTACTACAAGACCACCCAAATGCAAAGAGCTATGCAGGTTAGTATGACACTTTGTACAAACTTATATCTGTGTATGTTACAAATACCAATTCATACTGATTTTTAGTATTGTTAGTATCTTAATTTAATCCAGCTCTTTAGTATGTAAAAATATTAATATTCACAGTATGCTCATGCTATATGGAATCAGAAGATGATATAAGTAAATAATTGCACTTTAGATGTAATTGTTCAGTGATTTAAAAAATTGTACTTTATGTAATTTAAAAAATTGTACTTTATGATTTAGTCGACCACCAACTTGCCATCATACAAGTCAAGAAAAACATCGCTGTCACTTTGGCTCTTGTCCTGCATGTCATCAACCTTGCCTAAAAGTTTTGGAGAAATGTGGTCACTTGTGTCCTGCTTCATGTCATGATCAAGCATTAATAAAGCAAACTGGCAGGGTAAGGGAACAATATTATTAAAGAGATAGTGCATTGCGTTAAAAACCCTTGGGCCCTATTTTCTTGATTTTACTTAGTCATTCAACAAGCAGTGATCAAACACTTATGGTTATTGAGCACTGTACTAAGACCTGGGGTACAATGTAAATAAGACTTAGTCTTCTGTGTTAAGAAGCTCACAGTATTGAGAAGGAAAGAAACCAACAAATGTTTGCAAATACAGTGTGACTGATAGTTTTCTTATAATCATGATATAGATGAATTTGGCAGTCCTTTTTCATATATCATAGTTTAAGGTTACAGATATCTCCTAGCTCCTTCAAAGATCCATTGTTTTTAGCAAGTATTTATTGAGCACTTACTGTGTGTCAAGCATTTCATAACTTTTGAGGCGACAGCAGTGAACAAGAATAGTAGTGGTTAAAATTTTTACAGTTCTAATCCTCATTCTTTTAGCTTGTGAGAGGTGAAGAATGCTATACTGCCTTTGTTCTACCATTTAAAAACTGGAGTCTGCCTCCGTTTTTAATGTCTGCATGTTTGTAGAAGGGAACATTCTGCTAGAATAAGATGGAATAAAATATTTAAGTAAGGACAGTATGTTGCTTACTGGAAATAATTTCAATCTACTTGAATAGAAGATACATGGAATTGTTTTCTTAAATTCTTAGAATGGCCATATTATTCAATCCTTGTTGAAGATTGTTATGTGTTTTGTTTATAGAACCAGCCTACAGGCCCCTGGGAACAGCCTTCGGAGCCAACATTTATTCAGACTGCTTTACCTTGTCCTCCATGTCAGGTTCCTATTCCTATGTAAGTATTAGCATTTTAGCTTTTTTTTAAAAAAAATGTATTTAACATAGTCCAAAGTGTATCTTAATCACCCTCTCCAATTTTCCTTAGGTCAGGTCATCATTATTTCAGTGCTAGCTTATAAACTACTCTCTCTGTCTTCAGCCTCATTTTCTTCCAAATACAATGAAACCTGTAAGAGCTGGAACTCGACAGATCTGCCTTGTTTTTCCTGGTCTCATAAGTTCTGTACCTTTGACAAGGTGCAGTCTTCACTTTTCTCTCACTTATTTTAGTGGGAAATAGTGGCATTTCCCTTGTCTGACAGGTTTCCACCTTACACGGGTGCTGGCTTTTGCAGGTTTCACTGTATGTTTGCCATACTGCTTAAAACCCTACTTTATAAGTTTTTTTTAGTAGCCTTTTTCCCCAGCTGGAGTTTAATGCCTTTTTTTTTAACTACCACAGCTTGTACTTACAGTTACAGTAATACATCCAAGAGTTAATTGTTTGTTTTTCTGACTGATTCCCATTTTAGTTTATAAGCTTGAAGAGAGTTCCCATCTCCCTCTCACCAGTTTTGTGATAGGCTTGAAAACTAACATTCCATAATTACAATGAAAAAATAGCAGCCTAGCGGCCACCAGTAAACACATAATACACTCAGAATACTTTCAAACTTTTATTTCCAGTAAATTTACTTTGGTCCAAGTTCATGATGATGAGATAACCAGTGGGAGTGAGTTCCACAGACTTTTAAGGAAATCTGTCTTACCGTTATCTGAGCACTAAGCTAACCAAGCATAGACTTCTGTGACCACATTTGACACAGAATACAGACTGAACAGAAATAGTTTAGAAAAGTCATTGAAAAAACAATGAGCAACAACAACAAACTGTGAGAAAAGGAGAGAATTTGATTTCCAGAATTTACAGAAATCCAGTTTTCAACAAAAAATTGTGAGATACATAAACAAGAAATCATAGTCCATAATCGGAAAAAAACAGTTACTGTATTTTTATGCAAATAATGTGTGCCTTCTATGTTTGTTTGGCAACCACTCCCTCTCCCTTGTAACTGCCAGTATGCCAATATTCTTTTACATGTTGTTGTAAAAAAAAGAAAAAAAAAAAAAATTGTATAGTGCACTTAGAAAAATATCCCGCCATGGGGAGGGAGCAGTTGGCAAACGAATTATTATGGATTGACTATGTCCCCCAAAAAGTATATATCAACTTGACTGGGCCATAATTCTCAGTATAATGTAGTTATCCTGCATTTTGTGATCTGTTGTAATTATCTTATGTCTTATAAATCCTCATCTCTATAATGTTAATGAAGCAGGATTCCAGGCACTTATGTTAATAAGGCAGGATGCAGGCTATAAGATTAGGTTGTATCTTGAGTCAATCCATTTTGAGATTTAAAAGAGATTAAACAAGCAAGCAGAGGAAGGACCTCCTGTCCCAACAAAGAAAACCCCAAAGGAGAACATGTCTTTTGAACTTGGGGTCCCTGTGCTGGGAACGTCCTAGACTCAGGAAGATTATTGCCAAGACACATAAGATCTCCAAGCTGAAATAAGACAAAGATCTAAATTGTGAGACAACAGAGAAAGTCTTCCCCTAGCGCTAAGGTGCCCAGAATTTGGACTTCTGGCCTCCTAAGCTGTGAGAGAATAAATTACTGTTTGTTAAAGCCATCCACTTGTGGTATTTCTTTTATAAGGAGCTCTGGTAGTGCAGTACCTAAGGCATTTGACTGCTAACCAGAAGGTTGGTGGTTCAAACCCACCAGCTGCTCCATGGAAGGAAGATGGGGCAATCTATTTCTGAAAAGATTTAGAGCCTAGGACTCAATGTGGGGGGCACTATGAGTCATAATTGACATGATGACAGTGAGTTTGGTTTTGGTTTTTAGAGATAACTGAGATATAAGCATAGAGGGCGTGTGTTATTTGTATAAAAATACTTAATACAGACCACCCCTGAAGAGGCCCAGAACTTTAAATTAGCTTTTTTCAGTATGTTCAGATAACTAAAGAAAACAGTATCTAAAGAAGTAAAGGAAAATATGTCAAGAGTGTCAAGACAATTATTTAATAAGTAGAGAGACATCCAGTATTTGAGGATGGGAGGACTTAATATTGTTAAGATACAAACTCCTCAGATTGAGCTACAAATTCAGTGCCATGCCTGTCAAAATTTCAGCCAGGTATTTTGCAAAAAATTGACAAACCGATCCTAAAGTTTATATGGAAATGCAGGTTGCGGAGAATAGGTAAAACCTTGAAAAATAAGAGCGTTGTCATAAGACTCACCCTTACTGATTTAAAAACTTACTACGAAGCTACAGTAATAAAGATACAAGGATGCTGGCATAAGGATAGACATATATATTAGTGGGATAGAATTGAGAGTCGAAAAGTGAACCCATCCATTTTGGTCAATTGATGGTCAGTTGATTTTTGAGATAAGTGCCAAGACACTTTAGTGGGGCAAAAAATGATCTTTTCAATAAATAGTGCTGGGGCATTGCCACATGTGAAAAAATTCAGATCCCTGTCTCATCATATACAAATACTGACTCAGAATGGATCAAAGATGTAAAACTTAAGAGCTAACATTATTACGTTTTTATAAGAAAACATAGTTATAAATCTTCATGACAGATTATGCATTGTTTTTTTATATATGATACCTAAAGTATGAGCAACAAAAGAAAAAACAGATGAGTGGGACTTTGTGAAAATTAAAACCTTTGTTTTAATTGTCAAAGGACACTATCAACAAATTGAAAAGACAGCCCATAGAATGGGAAAAATTATCTGTGGATCACATATGGGTGCATTATCCAGAATATATGAAGAACTCTTACGACTCAACAATAAAAAGATAAACACTTGCAACTAGAAATTGGGTAAGAGATTTGAATTGGCATTTCTACAAAGAAGATATACAAATGGCCAGTAAATACATGCAAAAAAGATGCTCATATCATTAGTCATTGGGGAAATGCATGTTAAAACTACAGTGAGATACCATTTTGCATCTACTAGGAACACTAAAATAAAAAAAGGTATACAATAGAAAGTATTGACAGGGATGTGGAGAAATGGAAAAATTTGCATATTACTACTAGGAATGTAAAATGCAGCCACTTGGGGAAACAGTTTGGCAGTCCCTCAAAAAAACTAAGTATAGAGTGACCATATGACTCATGTGACTCATATGACCACATTTCCATGTCTAGGTATGTACCTAAGAGAATAAAAATACATATTCACAAAAAACCTTGTTTGAATTTTAGGGTATGTGAATTATGTTGCAATTTTTTTTAAAGGAAAGATATCTACAAAGACTCTCTTAACTCTGATATTGTATGAGTTTTCAATGCACTGTATAACAAAATTGTTATGAAGTGTATGTTGAAAAATATTTGTTGTCACATGAATTGTCTAGGTAATAGTTCTTCTTTAGAGTTGAATGTCCCTGTCCTCTTATTCCTTGCCTTTTGAAATAATGTTACTTTTAATGAGGGAGCCTTGATGGTTCCATGTAGTAGCACTTAGCTGCTCATCCAGATGTCTGAGGTTCAAACCCACCAGCTGCTCTGTGTGAGAACAATGTGGCAGTCTGCTTCCATAAATATTACAGGCTAGGAAAACCTGTTGGGCACGTCTACTCTGTTACTTAGGTTCATTGTAAGTTGGAATCGACTCAACAGCACACGTGAACTCTTAATGACATCTGGCCAGCCATGTGACAAAAGAACTCTCAACATACAAAATTTGCTATATTATTTAGAGTACCCGTGGCCCTGAGTAGTAAAAGCAGCTTACGTAATAACATTTATACCTCACACAATTAGATTGGAGACAGAGCAGCTCCAGGGTTGGTTGGTTGAGTGATAAATCATCAGGGACCCAGATTCTGTCTTTCCGTTTTGTTATCCTTAGTATGTCATCTTTTTCCTCAGGATCTTTGCGTTTTTGATTACTTTCCATTTAAACAAAAGTTTCCAAAAGTAGAAGAGAGCTGGCTATGCCTTCTGTCATATTCTTTTTTTTTTTTAAAT